ATCTCAGTGAGACCTCTTCCCGGTGCATCGCTCCATAGAGCTCGCTTGCTCCAGGCTCGCTCGCTTCGCACTGTTGAGAGGTTTGTTTGGTCCAATTAGACCGTGTCCAAGAGTTGTGGTCACTGTTGCTAGTGGTGAACAAATTGGCCTCCAAGTCTCCAAGTGGCCCAATCATGCCAAATCATCCTGAGCCTTACATAGGTGCTTGCCTGGATAGCGATGCGCACCGAAGCAGCCCCCAGGGGTAGCAGTACTGCATGCTGTTGTAGGATCCATATTTAGCGAAACGACTGGAGGACTTCGGTTTGCAGCTGTGTTGATCTCTTGAGCGGTTTGCCTCCCAATGACCTCAATTATGTTTTGGATTGTTTTGGACCAACTAACACAAATATGGTCTGTCCTATCACAACAAAGATCAAACATGGCTTCTTGGTGTATATATATATATATATTATATCATACGGCCTCAAATCTATACGGCCTCGAGGAGTGTCGTGACGAACTACCAAACTTCTACGTACCGGAACAGCCGGAACACTACGCACCATACTCCTCTCTATAGACTAACGTGGACCCTTTCTTGAAGACCATTTTCCGAATTGCGACCCAGTGGTTTTGAGGGTCTTTTTGGAAGGTCTAAATTGGCATCGCGCCAATCTGCCACTCCTCAGAACATGATCATCCACTTCCTCCGCCCGAGCAAGGCGCGTCCACGCAAGCCTCGTCTCGGAACTGCGTGCTATGGTTAGAGAGCTCCAATACCAGCTCTAACCTCAGAACAAATGAACAGGCTGTCCTCGCAACAGCAAAAATCATGTTCAAAGTGACTGCCAATCTTGCATTAGTGCAGGATAGTGCAGGTTGATTGAACAAAATTGAAGAGAAAAAGGATGAAAGGGGTGTATGTGCACAGTGGGGAGGGTTTCTTTCAAACTCGATGCTGCATTGTTCGCTGTCTCTAAATGTCTCTAGTGATTAGTTAGATGAGTCTTTACGCGAACTGCTCTTTCATGCTCTTTCACTTGACCGCTTCGGCCGCAACGCCCCGCCCCTTCTCACGCCGGCGGATCCCAACAAAGGAAGTGCCAATTGGGCTGCATCATCAAAACGGAGCTCTTTCATGTGGTTCAATGATGTTCAATGTGCATTAGTGTGAGATCCATTTGCAATGGATCAAAAGAGACCGCCACGCGGCTGGAGCCTTGTTTCATTGAGCTGTTCCTTGGCTCCCTTCTGCCCCATTTGGGGAGGTGAAAAAGGACACCTTGGTGCCCGGACAGTGCGAAGCCCTCGGAAAAGACCATGCCCAACTGGTCATCGTCCATGCTCTGCACCGCGGTTCCAGTTCCCACGACGGCTCCCGCAACACGAGACGAGTCTTCTTCGCTGGTCTGCATCTGGTTTCAAGGGTGCACCAAACAAGTTGGACACTGAAGTGAGTGAAACAGATTGAAACAGAATATATGGCAAGACTATCAAAGACTGCGTGTACACCGAACCTACCAAACCCGCGTGTGCATGCCAGGCACATTGAAGTAGGCAACTTAAAACTCCAAGTGTGACGGGGATTTGCTCTGTTTGAATGGTGGGGTGTTCAGAAGTTGATCCATGAAATGCATGATGCAGTGCACTTTAATTCTGATTGAGCTCGGAAAAGTTAACAAATGGCCGGCTAAGACTGGCACAATCCTCTAATCATTCATAGCCGCATAGCACTCCGCATAGCCTATGTCCTTATATAACCTATATAAATCCAGTAGCAGCGATCATTTATTTCTTCAACCATTTTCCATAGGTTTCTCTTGTGGGGACAAATTCAGGAACCTCAAAACCAGGGGCCGCGCGTTGTACATGATTGAAAGCCGAAACCCGTGGAGCTCTCCCAATGGGCGACGCTTTCGGGGGTCCAAAAAGGAGCGTTCCGCGCAGTGTGTTAGAAGACAAGGGCCTCCAAAAGCTCAGTCACCAGGGCGCTGTTCCGCGCGACGGCCGCATAGACCTCTTCAGGTCCAAGGCTTGACGAAGGCTCTGAAAGGCGATTTTAGGCGACTGGACCCAGCGGACATGGACCTGGAAGGAAGAACCGGAAGCCCTAAGGCTTATTAAGGACATGATTTTTTGGAGGGAGTTGCAAAGACTTTTTGAGAAAAAAAGGCAGCAACCTGGACTTCGCCGGCTTCTTCTACTGAACAACGTGTTAAAAACTGTACATTGGCACTCAAGAGTGTCATACACTTGGGATAATGTCACTAGCCTGAATGAAATACAGTGATTGCCTGAATTGAAACCCATGAAAGGCAAAAATGAGGAAAGTCTTCCATACAAATTCAACTGGGCTGTTCAGTATTGGATAGATTACAAAAGTGTGGCCCTCAGTCGGCCCGAGACCGTCGGGCAGGACATGGCAGAACATCCAAATCCACTCATGCAGCTCTAGTGGTCACCCCTAGCTACTAACAACCATCGATGGTTTTAGAATCCATGGACACCAAAAAGCTCTTGGGTCATAAGTCAAGTCCGATCTACAAGTCGTACCTTGAGTATTGAGGCACACCTACGCAGGGTACCGTGTACCCTGTACATCTTAGGCATTGCGCCATCCGGGGCGTCTTGCCCCTCGTGCCGCACCGACGGCATCCGAGGTCACCAAAGACGGATCGGCCTCCGAGGGATCCGCCTGAGACAGCGTCAGGGGGCTGACGCGGGGACGCGGCAAGCCTCTGCTGATCAATGCAGTGATGAACAATGACAATAATTACGTTGCCTTGCAAGGCCTTCAACTTGGAAATGTTCACATGAAATCATGTGTTCTTCTTCTCCATGAAATGACATCACTAAATAACAATCGTTCTCAAATCAACCCCAGCTTCCTTTAAACTTCTGCAGAATCTCACCTCAACGACCAAGAACATTCAACCAGTGGGATGCTGGAATGTTGCTGGAACATGCTGGAACTGATTCACGGTTTGATTTGGCAAGTAGCTTTCTGCAAGCCCTCAAGAAACAGATCCTTGAATATTGCGGTGGTTGAGCTAATACACATCCATGCTCTCACATAAATATACTGTGCTGAGACTGTGCTAACAAATCTAGCATTTATACTAGTTCATTCCCAAAAGAGTATTTGTAAGGGAAGCGCCTCAAAGAATCGACCAAGACTTGACCAAGATCTGTCCTTTGGTCGCCACCCACACAAAAACCGGCATACCAACAAAGGTTGAAGGACCCTAATACACTATACCGATCTATACCGACTATACCATAGGTACCCCAGGTGACGGGTCCTAGTTCAGGTCACTTAACCTCCCTTGGTCTTCCCCAGTCGTGCCTGTGGCAACATCAGCTGATGCAAGTTCCCGTCTAACGGCACTGCCGTCAAGGTCTGGCGCGTCACCTGCTCCACCGTGTTCCATCGGTGTCTTCACAAATGAAACCCACGGTGTGGAGGTGTTTGTTGTGTTTGGAACAGGATTCCAATGAACCCACCCATGATTTTTCCCAAACAAACGATGGATGATGTGGAGATCCTTCATGTTCAGGTCATATATGAGATCCTTAGCTTCCAGATCTGGAAGCTGGATTTCAAGCTCTACCCACACAGGGTGGTTCTTATAAATCAGCACCCACTATGATGATCCGTTGGGTCCAAAATGGGTTCAAGCAACATCTATCCCACTTGTGGGGAAAAACTGCGCTACTTACTACCACAGCCCTCCGCCGGACTCCGACTCTCTCTCTCTCTCTCTCACTGCTCGGAGAATAAATGAAAATAACATGGATCTACTTTGACAAAGAAGCTCCTCATGCACATCGAATTTCAGAATGCTTATCTGGAACGCCGGCCACGTGGGAATCTGGGAACCAGATTCAGCCGCATCTCCCACAATGCCCCAAAAAGACACCAGCATAGGCCTCGAGATAAACCGCTCGTCTTTTGGTTCTGCAACTTTGCAATGGTCACCCAGGACAGTGGTCACGCCGAGCCGCTCGCTCGTGTGGATTCACCGAGCATTCTGCTCGTGTGGTGCAGGGAGTCCGATTATACAACAGGTCGGAGGCAGCAACACTCGTGAGGACGTATGGGTACTGTTGTGGGGGGTCATGGGAGATGGGGTGAACAATTCGAGTTCTTCAACCATTGTTTACCTCCGAGAAAAGAAAGTCGACATCTTCAAAACCTTCTTGGACATCTCAAAGGCTCTCCGGACGTGAATATCTATCCAAGTTTGGGATGTGGACAACTCAAAGGCAAACAGGCTTCAGGTTAGATGATTAATCGGTGGCTACTCTTGATGCACATCTATATAATAAGTAGATCGAACTCTTGTTCTGATCCACCTTTTCATGCAACATGTCCGCAGCCCATCCGCTCTCCAATCACGAAAATCCGCAACGACCAGCGACCTGTCCCCACAAGACTACTCTTGCACCACAAGTCGAGCCATTCATGTGCCATTACTCGCATAATGGCAGGGTGAAACCTTTAAGCTTGCCTGGAGAAGGGAGATGAAGAACATGAAAGTGGAACTCCAAGAGGCTGGAAATCAAATTCATATATATATATATATGTTAATTTGGTTTAGTTTGTCTTCTCTATCCTTCTTCCCTGGCATGCCAGGAGGCATCCATTTCACTCATTTTGCAAATGTGGCTCATCGCCTCAAAACTGAAACAGCTGCTTTGCCGCGTTCACCCGCGACTTGCAACCTCAAAACTGCCGGCCACGCTGCCGAACTCACCGTCGGCAACTCGCGTGCGGGTGAGCACATGCACCCGAGTGCGTGCTGCAACCCGTCGCCGGTCCAAGCGAAACGGAGCTTTGAGATAGCCATATATCTTGTTGGAGGGATCCAGTCCAGTCTATCGTTTTATCCAGGTCCTAAATTGTCTTGTCAGAAGGATATCTAAGATGAAGATCTTAACTTACCTCCACGAATCAACCATTCATGACTGACCCCTTTCCGCGCCCTGGAGCCATGGCGCGTCTCTCTGGAACACGCTCATCCGACGCTAATGGCATCCACAGTGAAGTGGATTAGACCTGGGCTGCCGCTCGACACAGGGGACCGACAACTCCGTAGACGCCGTATGCCACCCCTGAGGCATTTTCCACACCATTGATGGGCCCACAAGATACATATCGATACCCAATTTGACGGAACAAAAAACCAAGCAGGTGAACTAAATTGAACAAAAACCAAGCAAAGGTGAACTGAAGCTTCCAGAGAAACTGCTTCCTAATGCAGGGTGCTTGGCAAGCGCTTGAACTCTCAAAGAAGAGTGCGCCAAACTTGGCTGGCATGTCTTCGCACTATTGAGGCCGAGCGAGTGGGGGTTCTCTCAATCTTAAGAATGATTGACCCTCCATAGCAGGGGAGGGACCCTCAAAACCTTATGTATCTGAGGGACGGTATATAGTGGTATTTGAGGGTCCGGATTCTTAGGGTTTGAGAAAGAAAAACAAGTCCTTTCTTTGCATTCTTCGTCCACCTACCTCGGTTTCAGGGCTCCATGGGTTGCCCCACAAAGTCGTGGGGGGTTCCTTCTGTGCGAGGTAACCCGAGGTTCCGAGGATGACACTCTCCCCAAGGTGAAACCGAGGACGTTCCCCTAACAAACTGCAATTTCCAGGATCTTTGCTTTGCAAATTTAGATTCTTCCACACGTATGCGCTTCTATTGTTCAGGTTGCACTAAGGTCAACAAACACTCATTACCCACAGACCTCCATGGTGAGCGGAACAGCAGCCTCTGAGCCTTTGCCTCATCTACACGTGGCAACAATACCGCGTTGAGTGCCGCACTCCACAGTGGCCATCTGGTTGCCAACATGAGATCCTGACGACCGACCCACAAGGAAGCTCCGAAAAGAGACATGTCTGGATTGATCTCATGAGATCTCTGGGACTTGAATAGTTTTTAAACATTGAACACATGGAACCTGAGAATTCACCCGTAGAGTCAGGTCAGATCTCCGAATACCAACCCAGTGGTTGAAAGGGGTTCCATTGTGGACCTCTGCAGGGGAGTAATGCTCAGGAACATGTGGGAGGATTGATAGCAGCCAGCACCGCCAGGTCAAACACGTCCAGTTCCGACTCGTGCGTTCTCAGGCCCTCCACGTGTGTCGTCTGTGTATCAAAACGCATTCAAACCACTGTGACTATGCCCTGTGGTGTTGCTTCGTAGCAGTGCGGAGACAGAAGATGGACGAGATGATCGGAGACAGAAGAAGACCGGTACACTCCCTGAAATGACGGAAGTGAACAAAAATGGTTCCCTCTACAAAGAGGTGCTTTCCACTTCCATGTTGGTTTTCCTGAGAAATCCTGTATACAGATGTATACAGATTGTATTAGGTAGATCCTTCCGCACATATTGTGCATCCATGTGGGTGCAGCACAAAGGCCGGCAGCAAACATTGCCGATCGGTTCACATGTCCACAACAAGCAGGAGTTTCACACAGCAAGCACCAAGAAAACATAAGAAAACCAGGTTATTGACAACAAATGGATATAAAGAGAAAATCATCAAAGGCAATCTTTCCCTCCAAGACTCAATTGTTATAAACTGACTGGTGCGACTCGTAGGGAATGAGGGAATGAGCTCCCGGCTCACAATAGATCACAATAGAGATTCCTTTGGATCCAGCCACCCTCATTCCCTTACTTTCGTCGCACCAGTCAGTAAGGATCCCCCCATCCAACCCACATCCCTTCGGATGTCCAGATCTTGTGAGGTATGCACCGCTTTCTTCATGGCCTGACGTCGTGCGCAAGGCCGCGAGGCCCTGCCGCGCGCAGCGCTCTGCGCGCGGCTGCCCTCGGCTCCGCGTGGAACGTGGAACTGGATCCTTTCTGACTTACAGTGGTCTCCCTAATCAGCCTGAAAAAACAATCGGGGAATTCCAGAAACACCAGACTCTACCCCAAACCGACGCTTCTGGAAAGAAGAAGGCAGTGCTTCCGTCCAAGGCCGTATAAAGAAACAGGAACTGCGGAACTGCCTAACTGCCTACTTAAAGGCTTTAAAAATCTTTACAAATATCAAGCTTGAAGATCTTAAAAGGCACCCACCACTGCACCCACCACATCCCACCAGTGGCACCCGAACTGCGCTCGTTCGTCCGTCCAAAGGTAGTCCCGCACCTCCTGGAGGCCGTTGATCAAGTTCAGGCGCTCCCTGAGAGGCGCCGAAGAGGATTTTTCACCACCCAAACAACTACCAGGAGCATCGGGCCACTGGGTCACCTAGCTGGACTACCCTGTCACTACCCTCCACTAACCTCCCCGGCCAGGACACCCATGGTGCAGGATGGTCCAGGTCACGTACGGAGACCTACACGATGTACGACAATCTGACAACCATTGGCTCCGCCCAGTGACCTCCAGTGACCCACCCACGTGTGTGTCGCACGTGGCGCAGAATCACATCACACACAAACTGACTCTGGAAAGTTGACCATGTTGAACCAAATTACTTTACTTCGAGTGATCCCCACCATGACATTTCAATCATTTGACTTGATGCCATAGTGAGGAGCATGTTGCCATGGTCGTGAGTATTGTAGTTCTCGATTTTGCTTGTGGGTCCTCGGGTTGTGTGCTGCGGTTGTGTGTTGTGGTTGTGGTTGTGTGCTGTGTTGTGGTTGTGGTTGTGTTTGTGATTGTGTGTTTGTGGCTGTGTGTTTGTGATTGTGTGTTTGTGGATGTGTTTGCGGTTGTGCTTGTGGCTGTACGTTTGTGGTTGTGTCTTTGTGGTCGTGTTGTTGTGGTTGTGTGTTTGTGGTTGTGTGTTTGTGGTTGTGTTTGTGGTTGTGTGTTTGTTGTGTGTTTGTGGATGTGTTTGTGGTTGTGTTTGTGGTTGTGTGTTTGTGGTTGTGTTTGTGGTTGTGTGTTTATTGTTGTGTCTTTGTGGTTGTGTGTTTGTTGTTATGTTTGTGGTTGTGTGTGTGTGTGGTTGTGTTTCTGGTTGTGTTTGTGGTTGTGTGTTTGTGGTTGTGTGTTTGTGGTTGTGTGTGTGGTTGTGTCTTTGTGGTTGTGTCTTTGTGGTTGTGTTGTTGTGGTTGTGTGTTTGTGGTTGTGTGTCTATTGTTGTGTGATTGTGGGTGTGCGCTTGTTGTTATGTTTGTGGTTGTGTTTGTGGTTGTGTGTTTGTGGTTGTGTCTTTGTGGCTTTGTTGTTGTGGTTGTGTGTTTGTGGTTGAGTGTTTGTGGTTGTGTGTCTGTGGTTGTGTGTCGATTGTTGTGTCTTTGTGGGTGTGTGTTTGTTGCTATGTTTGTGGTTGTGTTTGTTGTTGTGGTTGTGGTTGCGTGTTTGTGGTTGTGTTTGTGGCTGTGTGCTTGTGGTTATGTGTTTGTATTTGTGTGTGTTTGTGGTTGTGAGCTTGTGGTTGTGTTTGTGGTTGTGTGTTTGAAGCATACTATCTGCCATTCAATCTGCCATTCTATCTGACATACTATCTGGCATACTGTCTGGCATTCTATCTGGCATTTTGTCTGGCATTCTATCTGGCATATTTTCTGGCATTCTATCTGGCAATGTATCTAGCCATCTATCTGGCACACTATTTGGCATACTATCTGGCAATCTACTTGGCATTCTATCTGGCATTTTATCTGGCAAACTATCTGGTTGAGGTCCAGCGGTGCACACTGCGATCGGATCCTTGCGGTTGAGGTCCAGCGGTGCACACTGCGATCGGATCCTTGCGGTTGAGGTCCAG